TTATATCGAGAACCATTACTCGGTAGCAATTTTTACGATGAGACCTTTTTTACGTAAAAGACGCCGTAAGTGTATATTTTTTACTCAATAATTTTATACAGGTATGGACGAAAAGTTATTAGTCTTCAAACCAGTAAAAAATATGTAGGTGGCGTCCCCTACAAGTAGGTGTTATATTGACATCAAAATCAAATTCCCCATGTCAAAAAACTCCCAGGCACCAATTTTCATCCAAATATTGAGTTACTTCATAAATTATTTGGAAAAATTCGAAATAAAAATTAAACTTCTATACCCTGTATCTCCGAAACTAAGCATTTTAGGACATACATTTATACGAACTTTTTTACTTATTTTTATCCGCAGAATATATTGCCGAAGTTTGCTGAATACAGTTCGGACCACCCTGTATATCAATTAGAAAAAATTAAGACAACTGCCATTTTCACTTATGTGTTGCTACTACGCCCCAAAGCGACCATCTTTCGAACTTGAAAATAAGTTTCAGTGACTCTTGGTTCGTTTACCTACAAATTAGAGTTGGGCAAAAAATCACTACGTGTGATATTTTTCACCGTGAAATAAAAGTAGCAGTTCACGGTCGTTACCAAGGTAACAATAAATCGTGATAGGCTAAAGCGTGACTGACAGGGCACACGTCGCGACTATTCTCTTAAAATAATTTAATACTTTTTCTATAGAAACCTTTTTTAACAACCACCAATCGACCGCCAATAGAAAATCGTCGTTGGTGCGGTGCAATACCTTCGTGATCGGCCCCTGTGGTGTGCGCAGTGAGCTCGATGACGAGCCAGAGACAGGACTGGCCGACGACCGCTTGCTCTTAAAAGCGGTCATGGTCTGTGAGACGCCATCTGCCAGGATGAATTGCTCGCGCAGCTCTATGTTAGTGCGGCCCTTAGCTGTGGTGTGACGTCGATCGGTGTGGCGTGGAGTGAGGCAGTGGATGAGGGAGGGGACGGAAATAGAAAACAGGAAGAGTAATGTGTGAGGACCGGTGCGGGTGCGGAAAAGAAAAAGAGAAAAACAAACAAAACAAAATAAGCAAAAATACTTGTCGAAGTATCAGACTAGTCACAGTATCAATAGGTTACAGACAAACTATTTCCTTATACATACAACGTGCATTTGTGCACATGTATTAAATATTTTGTATGAATTTAAACATAAATGCATTGTTGCTTTTAAATTTATGTAATGCAAAATCATTGTCCTTGAATAGTTTTGATTTCACAACATAACATTACATTACAAAGGAACGACAATACACCAAAGGCACTTTTGCCACACTAAAATCAGATACCATCATGGGCAGATGCCTAAGGTTTATTTATCTGATGATGATCCAACAAGCTTATTTAAACGTGTATTCACAGTGGTTAAAAAATTATTTGGAATATTGAGAATTAATTTGTGTGATTTGCAAGAATTTATTGTAGTTTGACAATTAATTTTAAATGATTTAATCCCAATGGATTGTATGTTAAAAATAACATTAATATTTTATAACGATATGGTCATCGTCACAGCGTGGTCTTGATTTTAACGCGTAAGACAGTGATGTAGACAGCTTAATGAAAAATGAAATGTATTAAAAGGAGATAAAAGTTGGATTGATTCATTTCTTCTATGCGGTATTGCCGGATTTTGCAGTAAAATTTCAAAGCGCACAAGTAGGCGTTTACGAAAAATGTTGCATCTAGGGTTGAAACTTTATTTTTCATAATTAGTTACTCATTTTACTGCAGCTGTAAAAGATTATATTTAGCTAAGATATATTATCTTCATTTCAGTAATATACATGAAAGCTTATAATAATTTATTTTTTTCTACACACATTTTCCTACACACGTGAAAGCCGGCAACGCTGTATGGCGCTTTTTATTTCGTCTCTCTGTCTATCAGCCGGTCATTTATATTTATCACTGTCGCATGCATTAAAATACAAACCACGCAGATGAAGTGTCCAGGATGGTATAACTATTGTACGTCTATTTTGTTTGATATGAGCAGATATTTATGGAAATAAACTGTACTAAAATAAGTAAATACTTATGAAAATGTGCATAGACAACTGTTTGAAATATATAATTTCACTGTGAATAAAGAAAATAATATTTTTAACTGTAACCTAATTATTCTGGACTTCAGTGTAGTGACTCTATTAATTCGGATAACTGGATTTATGCTTAACCAGAATCGAAATAAAAGAGTTTATATACTGTAAATAATAATTCTAACCAATAGCAATACTTTGACTGAAACTTGCATAAATAATAGATACCGTCTAATTAAAACTCATTGGGGTAAATAAATTTCGAATTTTTTTATGACATAAAAAGTGAAAATTAGGTACTTGGTATACTAGTATATTACATTATAATGCTTCACGATGCATTATAATCTCTGAATATAGATAATACTATCAACACAGTCAAAATAATGTTATTGTACAGTAGCGTGTGCGTCAACGAGACTTTGTGTTTTTTTTTATTTTACATTATATATTACACTAGTTATATTATCAATAACCTAACGTATTATTAATAAATAAAATTTAAATTTTATTAATAATCATTTTTTGTTCATATCTCCTTCTATAAATACAATATCATCTAAAAAAACGGCGTCAGCTATGGCTATGTGTGAAGATCGCTGTCATTTTATATGTAAAATTATATGATGAATGTCATCAATCCTCACTTCCAAGCCAAGAGGGCGCTGTTTTTTTCGATCATATGGTATTTTATACTTTATTAATAATCGGTATAATAACTTCTACAGGATTTTTCACGCAACTTTTCAATCAACAACGTTTCATTAATCATCATTAATCTAATTTAGATATAAATTTCAATGTTTCAAGTTAGGATTATTTCCAGGCGTACGTTATTTTTAAAATATTTTCTACTTTCCTGGCACTTACGGTGATATTATAATGTATGAGTATTAATAATACAATTACCCCTATATTTTTTGATTTTTAAATTCTACATCGAATTCTAAACAAGGTATAGTGTGATATAGGTTCCTGAGTTTAGCCGTTTATGAACTAATTAATTAATAAAAGAATTATAATCTAATCTTATTAAAAAAGCAGTGATGCAGAAAAATATTTAATTATATTTTGCCCTGCAAATGTCATTTTTGACGTAAAATAGGAATTATTTAAAAAACGGCTAAATATATTTTAGGTATTTGGCATATACAAAAAAAATGGGTTTAAAATCTCATAATTCAAACATAGAAAAATATAGAAGGTTCTGTTAAAAATAAGCAATTTAGTTTCGGGTAAACCAGAAGTGTCAGATAGTAGAAAGAATATCTGGAAATAACCTTAACATGCAATACTCAAATTTGTATCTAAATTAGACCTTAAAAAAATTTAATGAACCAGTTTCGTGAAAAACTATGAATTTGATAGCGCAAAAGATTTTAATGCTTTATATAGTAAATGTATAAAATTATTCAGTGCAGTACTAAATATTGCATGTAACTAGAAACTAACTTTGATAATATTAAAGCACTCTCGTTGAAACACATGCATCTCAAGTAAGTTTTACCATAATAAACAAAATTGTAGTATATAAAAATGAAAACTATGATAAAACAGTTATTTATAAAAAAATGTACATCTTATAAAATAAAAAAAAAATCATATTCATGAAAAAATTAGTTTTAGTAGAGCAACCAAATCCATGCAAAAATAATCAAAATTAACCAAAAACCGTAAATTAGTTTATGTACAAGTTTTTTTGGTCTACATGCAATTTTATATTACCAATTTTTTTTTAAATTATTTCGAATTAAAACATTTGTGGGTTTATAGCAATGCTTCGAAAAATACACATTCCGCAACACACTACATTCCTACATATACTTCTTACGGAAAAATTGACCTAGGCAACAATATTGCAACATCAAAAAATATCCATAGAGAAACGAAAATGAAACGATAAAAACCATTAGCGGTCATAAAAAACATACGAAGAAAAATTACACACTACCACGTCCATCTCTCTCTATCTAACTTCATACATAACCTCAAGCAAATCACACACTACAGATGCATACTATAAAATGTATTTTTGGAAACATTGTGAATAATAAGCATGCTACATTTTAAAGACTTAAAAATCAGTTAAGTAATGTAGACCAAAATATAATATGTTTTATATCTTACCAAGTGGACACCATGGCTCGTGCTGTTCAGGTATGTCAGGGTTAGGAATGGGTAAAACCAATGTAACTGTTTTTATAAGCCATTGTGTAACATAAGGTACAACATCAAAAGCGTATGAAAAATGATATTGCAAATAATTATTAAATTTAACCAAAAAATAATTAGTGATGATCCAGGAAAGGTTAAAAGTGGGAAAAAATTAAATTTATTGATTAGTACGATGAACTGATAAGCAGAAAGAACTTTAAATAATCGTGCATATCTACGACATTAAAATATTTAAAGCTCTTTCATTCTATACATTAGGTATTATATTTTACAGTAAATTAATTAGCTATATGTCCATATAATTGCTACAGAAGATTAGAAAAGTATAAATGGCATATGTGTACCCTCAAGAGACGTAGTTTAGGTCGTACCACATTAATACATGAATTGGGTTACTTTAAGAATTATAGTTTCGTTTTCGTCCATGTTAGAATGACTTATAGTAAAGCTGGTTAACTTGAATCATTTTATTATTAATAATGAAATAATATATTATTATCGTTACAGATTGTTTAATATCCCCTGTTAATATATTTTTTACTGATTTCTAGATAAAGTGTCAATAAAATTTAGTTCTGAAATTCCATAAAATTTTATCAGTCACAAACTAATTTATTAAGCTTTAAGTAGATATTTTTGGAGCCTTTACTAGCATCATAAGTTTTATTAATTTTATGAAATTTAAGAACAAATAAAGGACTTCGAGCATATACAGATTTACTATTAGAAGATTTTAAAAATAACGTACCTCTGCATGGATCGTTCTTCAGTAAAAATTCATCTAAGGCTACCCATCCACCTCCGACACGTACCATTACGGTACTTCGGAGAATACGAACCAAGCGCAGTTTTTGACTGTCGCCAAACTAAAAGATTACAATATTACATTAATAAAATGTTAGGTTAGGTTAGGTTAGGTTATTATGATATATTTGAATTTCAATAAAATGAAAAACAGCCACTAAACTATCCCCGAAATGTTTTACGAATTATTTCTCGAAATATTTATGAAAAATCAAAAACAGTACATTTAGGAAACAGTTACAGATGGTAGATTAAATTGGCTATTCCTCTAAGGTTACACAAGAATATTTAGTTTTAATCATTGTCTAACATTATTAATTACAACATAGCAAAAAAATATATGTCCAAAACTTAAATTCGTAAAACTGCAAGGCAATACGCAGTGACTAAACTGTTCTGACGGTCCGCTTTTTATAGGTAATAATCCACGGTGTTAAACTATTTAAAAAATAGTCTAATTATTTCTTATTTTTGTATGGATTTATATCAAACAATGTTATTATATATAAAAGTATATATTATTGACATCGGGCCAATAAATAAGTTTCCCAATCAGCTCGATATATTGATGATGTTGCTAATTTACTAATCAAGCAATACTACAGTTATATTAATCAATAATTAAGGCCGCGTAAACAAATATAACTTATACAATTTTATATACTAATTATTCATTATAATTTCATTAAAATTAAATAATGGACATATATGAATTATATTCCTGCAGATTGAGTGAAAAGTGTTGTTCTTAATATCTACTCTACATATTATAAACGCGTGTTTAAATATTAATCTTGTGGAATATATGTTAACATAAAACGAGATCTAATTAACGAAATATCATCGTAACAAAAGCTATTTTAGAAACGTCTAGGTTTACTTATTTTACTGAGATTTATGAAAAAAAATCCTTTGCCTCGGGTACAGATACCGCGAGGTTTTGGAAAAAGCTCAAAACGAAACAAAATTGAACGAGGCAACAGGAAACACCAAAAAAAATCCCTCCACGTCCTCCTCACAAGTAATTTTCAGGCGCTTTTAAGAATCGAAAGTAGGTCGAGGCAATCCGACGTGGGTCAAGACCTGCTTCGAAGAGTTCTCCACATAATGTAGAGGCTGTTTAAGACGTTAAATATAGCACACAGTAATGGATGTGCAATAAAAAAATTACCCTGTATTTTCCTTCTCCAACTTGGAACACTCTGAACTTCTGCCGACAAGTACACAACATCACCAACCGCTTCACCTCGTCGTGTATCTTCTGAGCATCGTTATCGGGTGTCTTTTCTTCCCAATCCGGTCTTAATGCAGCAATGAACTTCTTCCAATCGATCAGACCTCTGTTGTTCTCATCGAACATGTCCGCTACGTGTTTCATTTCTAACCTCGAAGTGTCGAATTCTACAAAGTTACAGACGTTAAATTTAGATCAATATTGATAAGGAACAAATCCATACTGGTCTTAATAATGCCATCGATAAAGTCTTCCCTAGGAATCAATTCGTTGTTATCCTTGTCCATTTTCCTAAATAGATCTGTTAGACGCGACTTCTTGTAGTTCATGAACTTCAAGAAACGTTTCCTCCAGTCGTCCCAAGAGAAGTTGTCTGCCTTCTCTTTCTCCTTCAAATAAGCCAGATGATCGTATAGCTCTCTCTGTCTTTCCCAGGAAAGCACCCACACGTGACGCCACTTGTCGTAGAGGAATTTGACTCTTGGAGATCGGAATTCTGGTTCGCTAGAGATTTTAAAATTAAGTTTAAATATTTGGTTGATAGGATAAAAATGATCAGTGATGTGTTTTAGTAATTATGTGCCTGTAATAATGTAATGTGTGGTAGTTTTAGCAGTATATACCTAATATATTTTAATATAATATAGTACTGTATTACATGTAATATACTTTAATTAGAAAGATCGAGTAAAAGTAAAATCATGCTTAAAATAAGAATTAACCTAAACCTTAATGAAATAACTATGCAGAACCTCAAATTATACATAAGACGTGCATTTTTAATAAAAATGTCGATATACATCGATATGACATTTTCAAAATATATCATACAGAACATCTGACACATCATCAAATATTTCCCATATATGAATGTATCAAGTCATATGAACATATTTTGAAATAGTCGACAATATCCATGGCGTCCCAGGTTGAGCGTGTATTAGAAATTTCTAAAGAACTACAATATATAGATTGGATATTTTTAGCCGACCATACCAACAGGTATGGTAGGCTATAGGAAATACCACTCCTGCAACTCCCAGTGGACGATATGCCAAGAACGTACAACTTTGACAGACATGTCAATGTAGTATTGAGCAATAAGAAGGATTGGAAGAGCGAAACGCTTGCCCAGCAGTTAAAAGACCATACCATAACTTGGTATACTGATGCTTCCAAAACCAATACGGGAACAGGGATCGGAGTGTTTGGGCCGAGAGCTAATTACTCCGAACCAATGGGCACTTACCCTAGTATCCTACAGGCAGAAATCTACGCTATCGAGAGATGCGTACAACTTATCTTAGATAGGAACTATCGGAAACAAGAAATAGCCATCTTATCTGATAGTCAAGCAGCGTTAAAGGCGATCAACTCAGTATCAATCAATTCGAAATTGGTCAAAGAATGCATAGAGAAGCTGAATAAATTAGGCAAAGAAAACAAAGTCCTCCTACACTGGGTGCCTGCTCACCAAGGGATAGAAGGCAATGAAAAAGCAAATAATCTAGCTAGGAAAGCAGCGAACACTCCACTAACTGAACCAGAACCGTTCTGCTTTCCAAGTGGTAACCAACTCAAGGCGGAACTCAAGAACTTGGAAGATTCCATCCGCAACCTGGAATGGAAATTTTCCAATGGTCTAAGACACTCGAAGAAGTTTCTGAGGGCTTATGATGAAGAAAAATCACAGATCTTCCTGGGTCTGAGTAAGAACAATCTTCGGATTGTCACGGGGTTTTTAACAGGACACTGTCTCCTCAACGAACACCTCAGTAGATTGAAACTAAGAAGAAACGGCGAATGCAGATTCTGTGGGGAAGATGGGGAAACACCAGTACACCTCATCACTGAGTGCGCCGAGATGACAACCATTCGTGCCATGAATTTTGGTACGACTGATATTGGAGATGGAGAACTACCCTCTATAAAACCGTCCCAGATACTGGCTTTTGTCAAAGCCCTGGGACTGTATGATGAGTTATGATTCAAGAAAGGGGAACACAATGGATCTGTAAGGTCGAAGTGATTAACCCCCCTCCCACTCATTCTAAAAAAAATTCTAATGGTAGGCTATTAAGATCGGCAAAAAAAAATTTTTTTAATTTCACTCAAAATGAGTTATTTGGGTCATAAATGACCTAAATACAAAATTTTTTGATAGTGTCTGTCTGTCTGTCCGTCTGTAACACGATAACTCAAAAACCGCTAAACCGATTTTAACCAAATTTGGCACAAGAATACTGTGGCACCCGATAATCTGGCTATTAGTTTTTAGTGGGGGTGGGGGGTTGGTATGGGGGTATTGGAGGGGGTTAAAAATTTAAAAAAATCGTAACTTCAAAATTACAGTAGCTAGCGAAACGCGGTTTTCAATTTAAGATTAGAAATAATATTTGCAACAAAATGTGTAATAACATCAAAATCAGTCAAAGTCGCAGTTTTTGAGATATTCCGTGTTTCCGTAGTCTGTTTTTGAGAAAATCCGTGTGGAGAACTCCAAACTCCCATCGGACGCGACCCCAGGTGGCGGATAGGGGAAATAACCGCGGACCAAAATTGAAAAATGCCTATAGAAAGAACTGCCTACCAACTTTTTATTCACATATATTAGTATGGGCGGCTATACGTGCCTGCCAGCGCCGATTTTTTGCAAAACAACGAGATCTATTGATTAAAAATATTTTCAATATGGAGGCACTTCCGAAAATAGCGGAAGTTGAGAGCAACTTTCTTATTTTAAATGGGTAGCCCTATTTTTCATTACATACTTAAATTCTAAAAAGAAATTATAGATTTTGATATTGAAAACTCTATACTTAACATTAACAGAGAAAAAAATATATATAAAAATTTTGGACAAAAAGAACTGCCTGTCATAAATCTGTGTATAACCTAAACGTCAAATTTAGTGATTACTACAGTGACTGTGACATAATGAGAAGACATGTGGCTAGCTATGTCAAAAATTAAATTGTTTGAATGTCATATAATATTGGCCGTGGCTGTCAAGGAATTGAGCAATTAAAAAATTACCATAAATATTTTTTTTCAAATGAAACCCCCCTTTTTTTATTTCACTAGTAAAAATGTTGTTCAATTCGTTACTTTTTATTATACATGTCTATATACCTAAAATTAATCGTTTTTAAGTTATTTTTAAGATTTAGTTTTAAAGCGTATATTTTTCTTAACAATTTTTTTCTTGATAATCACTAAATTTGACGTTTAGGGTACACACATTTTTTTGACAGGCACTTTTTTTCGTCCAAAATTTTTAAATATTTTTTTTTTCAAAAACGGTTAATGTTATCTATAGAATGTTTAATCAAAATTCATAAAATTTTACAGAGAATTTAAGTATGTAATAAAAAATAGGGGTACTCATTTAAAATAAGTAAGTTGAGGTTAAGTTCCGCTATTTCCGGAAGTGCCGCCATATTGAAATTATTTTTAATAGATAGATCTCATTGTGAAACTATGGTCTGCAAAAAATCTCCGATCTAGATATTGTAGTTATCCAGAAACTTCTAATGCACGCTCAGCCTGTGACACCCTGTATATATTAATCTTTTTATAAAAAGTATGTATATATACATCAATATTTTCTAACACCAATAGTTTCGATATTTTCTAACACCAATATTTAACAACTATTTATATAATTTACATTTTTTGGTACGGCATAAAAAATAAGTTGGTTATAATACTTGATATTTGTTTATGAAATGAACAGCACCATTTGTAAAAATATTTAATAATCAAAATTAAATAAAAATGATTTGTCTCTAAATAAATGAAAATTAACTATAACCGATATCACCAAATTACTCGCTCTATAGGTACATATGTACCAAGCAATGATAATAAATATCGAAACTCTATATTTAAATATTTTTATTCTAAACTATATCAACCTATTACCCATTTCACGAAACGTCTTTAGTTGGCTGGAATGTCTTGTGTAGTTAGTTAAAATGAAAACATATTGAAAAATGATAATGTACCTTCCAGATGGAGGGAACCTTGGCCCAATGTGAGGGTATCCATATTCTGGACTGAGCTCTCTGCCTGGACTGGTGCGGCTGTTGAATAAAGCAACATGCAACACTCAACACAGTTCTGTACTAAATGCTCTACTAAACTAATTGAATTCAAGTATTACGTCCTTAAATTAGATTTGGTAATACTTGATTTCAAATACACCTTAAAAATGGATAACGAGAACCAAAAGTATGGAAAAATATATGATATTTTATGATAAAGAAATCGTAAATCCCAAATGGTTAGTTTTGTTAGTATTTTTGCATAAATATTATGTAAATAATATGTTATAAAAATAGGTTTTATTTGATTATAGTCATTGGTCATTGAAAATATGTACAGTTGCAACAGTAACAATTTTTTTTTAATATTTAATTGATATAATATTATATACATTAATAATTATAATCTGACCTGTTGCCAATTTAACTAATATTTATACAATATGTAAAAACAAGAAAAAATATGCAATTACAAAATTTGAAATAATTTATTGAAAAGCCTGTATACCGGGTGCGTCTCAAAAGTGGCTCACCCCTATAACTTTTTTATTTTTTCAGATAAAAAAAACGAGATTTGGTATGTTAGTATATGATATAAATTAGAATTGACTGACGTGTTCAATTCTTTTCGGTCACTTCCTGTTTCACCGGATATAACTACAACTTTTCATTTTTAAATAGCATCCAGGTGTTTTTTACTTTCTTTGATAGAAAATGACATTCTGAATAGACTGACATCTCATGTCTACTTTTGACATATTCGCTTAAAAAAATATCGTATTTTAAATTTCAATTTAGAGTACCATGGCTGTGTTAAAAATACTAATTTTTAATGGAGGAATGTTTTTAGTGTTTTGTCCTGGCCGGTTAAAAGATGCCCAACTCATATTTTTAATCATATCTCACTGTTTTCAAATGGAACTAGAGTGGCTGATTAACATATTGGTAAAAAGAATTTTTTTATGAATAATTTGGTACCACACACTTGGTATTTCGAGTCAAATTGTCGTTATGCACCGCATGTTTCAAATAAACCATATGTGAAAATGTCAAAAGTTGACATATCATATGTCATTCTATTCAGATTAGGGTTTATAATTTTCGGAATCGGGATCCTGTTTTGTAATCCCGGGATTAGAACCTATAATGCTGAGATTCCGAACCTACAATCTGAGATTGACTATCAGACTGAGAAATTTAATCTAAAGAAATACTCAAAAAAATGCAGCTACATAATAACACAAAAAAAATGAGAAAAGAATTTTATTAAAATAGACAAAACAAAGTAACATTCATATTTAATAAATAGAAAAAACAATAAAATAAAAAATAGCAAACACGGAAATATCACTTATAGATATTGACGTTCTGCATAGTCTAAATAAAATGTGATCTTTGAGAGACTAAAGTGTATAAAGTCGTATCATTTTAAATTGGGCATTTCAATTTTTCGAGAATTTCAGGAGCCGGGATTTAATATCGGGATTTCGGAATCCCCAGTTGAGGGTGCCATTTAAAAATCAAAAGTTGTACTAATTTCCGGTGAAACAGAAAGTGACCGAAAACAATTGAATATGTCAATCAGTTCTAATTTATGTCATATACTAACAAACTAAATCTCGTTTTTTTATCTGAAAAAATAAGAAAGTTATAGAGGTGAGCCACTTTTGAGACGCACCCGGTATAGTGATAACGAAATCGTTATACAAAATACCATTTTTTCAAAGAAATTTGAAACTTCAGTTGATTCAAAATATAGTTTATCAAAACTCATATTAAATAATCATTAAAGGAGGAGGTACCTGAACACTATATATTTGATTCTTTAAAGTTCTTTGGACTTCTAAACTCTACGCAAGACTCGTTCGATTTAAAAAAAATGATGAAAAAAAATTGTCTTGAAAAAAGTTTTGATTAAATATATTTTGAAACCAATACGAGTAAAATAATTAATTATGTTACAAAATCCTCCACCAATGAAAAAAATAAAGTATGCTAACCTTCCACGTTGGGACAACAAATCTCGAGACCCTTTGAAGCTAAAATAACAAAAAAAAAACAATCAACACAATATAAAAGCCAAAAATATCACAATAAAGCAAAGAAGCAAAAAATAAATTAAGCAATTAAGTAGCAACTAAACTAGCAATAGAAGTATCACAAAACACTTATTATCCTATTTTAATGAATTTGCAAGTACTTCAGATGTAATGAGAGTTTTGTAGAGGATGTATATGCACATTAAACATACCTTTGTTTGCGACCAAGATTGCCATAATCAGTTGAATGTTCGTGAAGATCGTGCTGTGAGCCACGGCTGAAGGAAGAAGCAACAAAGAATGATAAAACACATAAACTCGTGCATACAAGAAAACAAAAATTAAACACAGTAAGCATATTATCACAAAAGAAAATAAAACAGGATATTCCAGAAGGTAACAGTCTGCAATTATATTTAAGCATATGAAGGTCGATAAGGAGCAAAAAAGTAGTGAAGTTTTTTGCTCTTAATATCTCTCAGTCGAATTTATATAATCATTAAAAATATCAAAATACCATCTGAAACTCCTGACATTGCACAACTACCTACTACATTACAATATGAAAAAAGTAATCGTTACTGTATTATCAATAAATGTAAAAACAAACAATTATGATTATAGTATACATACACAGGTCCTTTGCCCTTTCCGAATTTCTTAACGTCTCTTGGTCCCTGGGCTGGTTTCACTTGTCTAGCCTTGCAAACTCTGTCCACTTCTCCCTGTCGCTTTTGAGTATTTTCCATGAATTCCTTGTGATCAGCAATGAGCTGTTCAGTGGCAGGAATGTCCATTGGCAGTTCTTCCCTTTTAAGAGCTATGAGATTATTTTCCAGTCCCAATAACCATTGGATGAGTTCTTCTAACGACTCGTCCAGATCACGTAAAGATTGCATGTGTGTGGATAATTTCTGGTGGCGTTGAAGAGCCCATTGGGACACTTCTTCCCACCTGGACTGTATTACCTTAATCCAGTTTTTGATCACGTTGATGGCATCGGGGTGGGCTTTGGCGAGAATCCTATGAGCCAAGTCGATTGTCTGATCTTTCTCGAGCTCCTTCTCATTGAGTTGTACACGGAATTCATCAAGTGCTTTGAGTTGTTCGTAAGCGGCAGCCTCGTCTTCTGGAGTGTTTCCAACAAACCGAAGCTTCATTTCGGCGTCGGAAAGCCAGTCGAGAATCATATTGACCGACCTGTGAAGTTTTTCGGCTTCTTTGAGAGCCTCATGGAGACGATCGGTTTTAAGATGCGTCAAACCAGTTACAGACTCCCAGAGTTGGGTAAGTTCGGTAAGTTGTTTCCTTATATTAGCCGCATCGTGTTTACTTGCTGTTCGTTCTAATTCTTGTCCGCTTCGCATAACCGATTCCATTTGGTCATTTCGTTTTTCCAATTCTTTTTCGAATTGTCTGTGCAAGTCCACCAAATGATTAACAGTGTCCAAATCACCGTGAACTGGGCTATCCTGAGACAATTCCTTCTCTACCCTTTTTAGCCAATCCAAAAGAGCTGCAATAGCATCTTTGTACTGACCAGAGTATAGTAGAGCTTCTTCCAATTTTCTTTGTCTCTCAACACTCTTATTGCAAACGGCAGTCCATTTATTTTTCAAATCCGCAAGCATTTGTTTAAGAGTAGGCTCATCGGTTTTCGGGGCCTTATCTTTAAGTTGTTTGCCATTTTTCATTACGGAATCATATGTCGCCTGTTTACCTGATAAAGCTCGTTGGAATTCTTGGTGTTTGGTAAGACGAGCTTTGATTTTCTCCGGATCATTTCCGGCGGTATCAGCCATATAATCGTCCAAGTTTTGTTCAGTTTCTTCCAACCAATTCATCAAACCAGACCACGAGTCGTGGAACTCTCTAGCCTCTTTGTAACCTAAATCTAGAGCTCTTGTACGTTCCGCCGATTTAGATGCTACTCGTTCCCATCTGTGCTGGACACTAATGAGAAGATTCTTAATCAAAATAACATCTTGTTTCTGGCTGAAATATTTTAAATGTGTTCCTTTCTTATCAAGGGCAAGCATAATTTCTCGATGAGCACTGACATCCTTCTGAAATACTTTATGCTCTTCTATCTGTTGTTGGACAGTTTCCAGTACTCTTGAAACCGGTTTAAGGCTAGTTAGGATTTTCTCGGCATTTGTTAACCAGTCAACAAATGCTTGCAATGATTCATGGAATTCTGTCGCTTCCTTAAGAGCGATTTCAAGTTTGATCTTCTTGTCATTTGCTCTAGCTGTGACAGAGTCCCATCTCTGCTTCAATGTTTTCAAGTTGTGCTGTAAATTAGATGCAGAATTCGGTGGTGCCTTTCTTAGGTATTCTTGGCCTTGAGCTAATACCGTTTCAACTTTTGGTCTATTTTCTTCAAGTTCATTGTAAATTTCCATAAAACGTTCAAGTTGTTCTGAAGCCGTCTCTGGAAGTCCACCGACTGGTTTCGAAGCAGCGATAATACCGTCAACATCGCCCAGCCAAGAGAGCAGGTCTTGAATTTCTGCATTAAATCTATGAGCGTCGGTCAAAGCATCCTCGAGCTCCCGTTGGCGATCGGCAGCCTTTTGCATTAACGCCCGCCATTGAGTATTTAGAGTATTCAGTTTATCCTGGGTAGCGGAGGCTTCGTGACGATCTTCGCCACTTTCAATGATTTGTCGACCGGCATCGTTAAGCGTATCTACACTAGTCTGGTGAGCTTGAATATCATTAATCAACACTTTGAGTTTTGCTAATTCAATTTCTAGAACTTGAGCGTCACCAGCAACAGGTTTAAGCTCATCCAAAGTTTTATCAGTCTTTGAAATCCAAACTAATAGTTCATTAAGAGCATGCTGGAATTGTCCCAGACGTAACAAAGCGTTCTCTAGCTGTCTTTGTCTTTCCACAATGCCGCGCAACAAATCATCCCAGCGCTTATTAACAGCAGATAGAGGTTCTTTAATTGCTGCTGCTTGATCGGCTGATGTGCGTTCAGTGAGTTCTTGAGCTTGCCTGTTAAAAAAATCAAATATTAATAATTTAATAAAACAAACGTAACTATTGCAGCAAGCAGAAATGATAATAAATATTATCTTACAGTTAATTGTACCAGATAGATATTTAAGTAGAATCCTATAACGAATTAATTACTAAATAACTTATTATCTAACTTTATCTTAAATTTTCTTTGCTTATTTTTAAAACTAGAGATTTTTTAGTAAAATATTTAAATAAATATAAAAACATTAAAAGTTTTTTTAGTTTATCATCTCAAAATTAGGATGGATTGGATATTATTATTAATTACAGGTGTTGTATACTTTGAGTTAATTTGTTTTTATAATAATTGAAGCTGATTGTAAAGAAAAATGTAGTTTTAAGTTATTTATAATTAATTCGAAAGATTCTTAAGCTTATCAAGCAAAATTTGGCTACACAAAGCTTGAAGAGCATAATTTTAGACACTGACAGAATACTTATTTCATTATTTTAAAGTCATGCTAAACATATTAAAACAAAGGTAATAAGAAATAATAGATTTATAAATATTTTATAGTTTTAGATTTAGATTAGAAATACCATATAAGTAAACCGAAAAAATATTATTGAATTACAATTATATCAAAACAAATATGCATGCTATAATCAAACGGAATCATTTTTTTTTTATATAACTTTTCTATTAAATTTTAAAATATTTGCTTATATCGCAAAAAAAGAAGCCTTTACACCAATAAATGCATTAACACAGAAACACAGCTTGCAATACGGAAAAACCAAAAGTTTCTTGCCTTATAAGACTCCTGTAGTCCATCGGAAATATAAGAAAAATAGAGTTAGTATTAAATAATACAATGTTCTATAAAGACTGTACATATTTCAAGTTGTAATATAAATTGTACTAACCTATTGAGCGCCTCAACTTTTACCATATGCGGATCAACTTCAGCTTTGAAACCCTTTAGTTGGTCAATCTGTCTCTTAACTGCATCAATATCGGTTCCAAGTGGACCCATTTTTTCGAATTTCCTCTCAGCTTTATCCAAAAAGGCCAGTAAGTCCTAGAACATCATCATCATCAGCATTTAAATCTACTAACAATAATTATAAAAAACCTACTTGTAATGTTTCATGGAACTCCATGGCCTTCTCCATAGCATCAATTAGATTCTCCTCGCGTTTAGCATACAGAGCTGTGATGTTATCCCAAGCATTATCTAGATCTTCAATGTGCTTCTTGACTTCTGGCTTGTCGGGTTCACCGCATAGTTTCATTAATTTCTGACCAGATGATCTTACTTGATCGACCTCGGGCTTAGTTTGATCAATTTCCTGTCGAATTTCTTGCAGCGCTACTTGCTGTTCTTGAATAGCCTTAGGTTCAACTGCAGGAGGCTCTTGACTCACTAATGAATCTTCTAAGTCTTTAAGAGTGGCCATAATGGCGTGTAACTCTTTCCAGAATTTCTGAGCTGCATCTAAAGCATTTTCCAAAGAATTACCACGATCTTTGGTGGCCTTTTGAACGTCATCCCAAAGCGTCTTTAGTTTGTCCAGTTTGCGTTTAATATCTTTCACGGCTGGATCTGCTCTATTTCCTGCTTTGTTAATAACATCGTCAGCTGCACGTTTTACTGCTGCATAAGCTTCTTTTCTTTTGTCTAAATCGCTAACAATTGCATCGTTGTCTTCTATTTGATCGCGGATTTTCGGTACATGGGCAGAAATTGGTTCTTGGTTATTAACCTGATCAGCAGTGTTAGTCAGGGCACGTAACATTCCTTCCAATTTATCAGAAAATTGAGAGCTTTCTTGCATAGCTTGTTCTAATGCCTGTTGACGTTCTCTAAGTTCAAGTTTCAACGCTGCATATCTAGAATTGTCGTTATCTAAAAGTTCTTGTACCTTGATTCCATCGTCCTCATTGCACAGTTTAATCAGAGCTTCACCTGTCTTGTTAAGTTTGTCAATAAGAGGTTTGTGTTCATTAATAGATTGCAAAAACATTTCATTTCGATCTTGTTGTTGAGCTATAGCATCAGGGCGAAGAGCGGGCATAGAAAGCATAGAAACTTGTTCTTCCATGTCACTCAGCCAATTCGCTAGAACGACATGGGTATCGTGGAAGTGTTCTGCTAATGGGAGAGCTTGTTCTAAAATACCCAACCTATCAGAACTTAAAGCTGACACAGTGTCCATAGCTTCACGAAGATCCTCCATTTTTTCTCTGATAAGGGAAGTGTCCTCACTTGGTGGACTTTCTCTCAGAACTTTCTTAGCAGTTGAAAGAACATCACGAACTCTTCCTTTCTGACTCGAAATGTCATCGTTCAAAGCTTTATGCTCTTTTAATTGTACTCTTATTAAATCTGGTTCGGCGGATGGTTTTTCGGCATCTCTAATTTGATTTTCAACTTCTCTGAACCATTCCAAAAGTTCATCGATATCTCCAGTAACTTCCAAAGCTCGCTGTTTGCCTAGATGAATTCTTTCCGCTCGTCTTTGTATTTGTTCGGCGATTGCATCAAAACGTCTGTTATCCCTAGTTACTAAACCTTCGATGGTGGCAGCGCCTTCTCCAGGGCTAGCTTGACATAACTGGGGTCCCAAAATATTTATGGTCTCCAATACAGGTCTAAGTTCTTGTAAATCGAGTTCTAAACGTGCAATATCTCCTTCGTTTGGTTCAGCGGATTGTAAAATTGACTCAGCTCCTTGCATCCATTCAACAAGGCGGTTATGGTTGTTATGGAATTTCTGCACCACAGGTAACAAGTTCTCCGCATGTTTAAGTAAATCAGAACCTCGAGAAGTGAGATCATTGTAACGACGTTGAAGAGAATCAAGTTTATCTTTCAGTTGTAAAGCTTCATCAGATGATATATGACGCATGAGTTCAACTCCAGAATCTACAGTGCCGTCAACATCGGCTTGGCGTCCCGCAATATCTTCAGTTAGGGCCGTCAGGTCATCCATTTGTTCAAGCAATCTATCAGTGTGAACAGCAAGGACTTTATACCTTGCTAATCTTTGTTCCATGGCATCCATCCATGCAGCTAGGTCCTGGTAAGTTAAAACTAAATGTCTCAAACCTTGTCTAGAAGCTGATAACAGCTGTCCGATATTTTCACTGGCTTCAACAAGATTGCCATATCTGTCAGTAACTTCTTGCAATTTATCAGCCAAAGTGGCAGCTTCATCTTCACCCACGAGAGACATTAAGTTAGATGCAATATCAGTAAGTTCTCTAAAATCAGGTTTCTTATTTAAAATATCATTATGCAACGCATCGTGTTCGCGAATTCTTTGTTGAATCTTTTCTTCATCGGTAGGAATGAGTTCCATGTCTCTAACCTTCTTTTCACTACGTTCTAACCATTCTTGCAATGGAACTAGTTTATCTTGGAATTCTTTAGCTACCTTCATAGCTTGTTCCAAAGCAAGAGTCCGCTGTTGTGCGTTATCAGTTAAAGCATCAAACCGTCCAATGAGGTCTTTGAGTTGTTTTTCTATCGCTTTTCTTTCAACGGGATCAGCTTCTTTAGCAATTTCATTGCCCATATTGAATAAGGAAGACATGGAGTTTTGTCGGTCGAGTAACATTTTCTTAAGGAATTTCTGCTCTTGTAATTGGGCTTTAACAACCTTGTAATCGGCAGATGGTGGTTTTTGATTAGCAACAAGGTCTTCTGTATCTGCCAGCCATTTCGCAAGACCATCTAAGGCTTCTTGGAATTTGCCTGATTGTAATAGGGCAATATCAAGTCTACGCTCACGATCGTTAATTTTTTCTTTCAAGGTATTCCATTGATCATTCATTTTTTCTAAATCTCTCTCCAGTGCTTGAGTGTTGACTCCAGGAGCGGCTGATTGGATTAACCCTTGGCCGAATCTGTTACAACTTTCTACATTTCTGCTAAGAGGTTCGATCGTGCCTGCTCTAAACTTCTTGAAATCTTTCTGTTGGGCTCTAATACCATCAACATCGGATCCTATAGGTTTTAGTTTACGTATCTGATCGGATGCATTGCCTAATCCATCCAAAACTTCCGCATGGTTAATATAGAAATCTTCAAGTTTTTTGAGGGTAGATTCAAGTTCTTTTTCTCTATTATGCGCTCTGTCGTCAAGTTTTCCAAGTTGTTTCTTTAACGTATCTACTTGTTGGCGAGTTTGAGCGGTATCAGGTGCGAAACCACTGTCAACCAATCTTTCACCTGCTTGGATAGCGTCATCTACATCATTTGAAGCTTTATTAATTTTGTTAAGAAATTTGTTAACATCATCGATTTGTCCACGAACGGTTTTTACATCTCTTGCAGGTGGTTTCATGTTGTCTAATTCAGCTTCAAGTCCAGAGAGGTCATGAGATAAGCCTTTAACTTTATCATTGAATTGTGTCACTGCAGTAGCGGCAGATTGTAATTCTGAGCAACGATCGTCTAGTTTTCCTTGCAAATCGTTAATACGATCCCCAATGTTTTCCACTTCATATTTTAGATGATTAGCATCGATTCCAACGTCAGCGGCTTCTTGACACAAATCTCCAGCTTGATTACGAAGACTTTGCAAGGGTTTTTTGAGTTTACTTGTCTCTTCTCTTAAAGATTTAATTCTATCTAAAAGTTTTGGATCTCTTGAGGCACCACCTAGAGCATCATGAGCAGCAAGGTTATCTTCACATCGTTCAAGACCGTGTTTGAGATCTCTGAGATTTTCATTGAAATCTGAAAGCTTTCTGGCTTGATCTTCGAGAGCTTGTGTGCGTAGTATAAGATCATTGTTAAGTTTTTCCCAGCGTTCTTTAAGTTCTTGTAATTCGTTTTTCACAACTTCCTTGTCAATATCACAAGATGACACAAAAGTATCACCAAGTGATCTAGTGTTTTCATATTCCCCAGATTTTTTCCATATTTCATTTCTAAAGCTTTGAATTTCCTTAAGTTGTTTCTCAATGTGTTTCTTTTCAAAAGATTGAAGTCTAAATGAATCAATTTTATCTTCAGCTTGTCTTAACCAAGGAAGGAATGATTCTAAGGCAGTATAATATTTACGACAATGTTCCTTGCACGTTTGTAAGCGAGTTTGTCTATCAACAGCCTCTTTGCGTAATTTATCCCAAGATTGTTGAATCTTATCAAGTTCTCTCTGCAAATTTCTAGTGTCTCCTTTAGTTGGACGAGAAACCATTTCCCGACCTTTGTTCAAAAGCATAATCACTTCGTGTTCTCTAGCTAAAATATCCCGATAAATGGGTTCATGGTGAGCAAGTTGTTGTTCCAGAACATCTCTGATAGCGGATATTAAAAGGCGTTCACTGAAAGATCCTAATTCGTCCGATAACCAACCAAGAGTTTTTGAACAAGAAGCTTCAAACTGACGCCCATCACGAAGACAGCCTTCAATTTCAGCCTTCTTAAGATCAAGTTTCTTTTGCAGTGCCCTATATTGACGATCAACAGATGCAAGTTTAGCTTGAATATCAGCTCTGGATGCGGGATCACTAAGGACATCACATAGATGAGCACCGTTAGCTTCAAGATCAGCTAACAAAGGCCGCTGACCCTCAAGTTGTCTTTCCAAATTCTCCACTTTTCTTAATTGCTCTTCTGGTTCTTTTTCGTAAGAAACTTCATCCAGATTATCTGAAATACCTTGCAAGGCATCCCTAAGTCTGGTTAACTGTGCATCAAACTCTCTGCTAGTATCTGCTGCAGCTCCCAAGGAATCTGCGCGTTCTTCTAGTTTACTTAATATATCGGCCCACTTTTGTTGAATGTTTGTTAATTTGTTGTTAATTTTCTGATGATCAGGAGATCTTGGTTCCAAGTATGATAAAACATCATCTCCAACGTCAATAAGATGTTGCAATTGGGGTTGTTGGGATCGGAACTCTTCACGTAGCACCTGTACTTGTTGTACTTGAGATTGAACCATACGCGAATCGCTGGATATAGGGCCAAGTACTGTTAACATGCGTTCTTTAGCACCTAACCATGAAGCAAGAGAGTCATGTGTATCGTGGAATTCCTTCATATCTTCCATAAATTTAATACGGTTCTTTAGATGATCGCTAAGACTCTTCCAATGAGACATAACATCTTCAAGCTCGTCGTGAAGATTATCAGCACCTATAGCACCAGCCTTACGTTTCAACAAATCTTTTATTTGACTATTAGTAGTGTCTAGAAGAGACTGTTTTTCATACATTTCCTCTAATACCAGTTTGATTTGTTTGTTAAGTTTGTCTGCCTCATCTCTAGTATTCGGAACAGCATCCTTGGGTAATTGTCTTTGAATTTTATCTAAAAAGGCACTAAGTGTTTTCAAATTATCTTGTTGTTTTCTTAACTCTTCGCGTATAGAATCGATTTCAGCTTGGCGATCATTAATTTTGACACCAAGAAGAGAGTATTTGTTGTTAATCTCAGAGAGTTGCTGTTGAACAGGAGACAACTCTTCCAAGTGGAAACCATCTTGACTGGATCTGCGAGAAGAAAATCCGCTTGATCCGCCTGGTGATAATGGACTAAGGCCTTTAGTTGGTGAGGGTGAGCGACCATCTTGAGATGGGCGACGTCCAGAGATTCTTTTAGTGGGACTGTAACCTTTACGCCTAGTTGGTGAATCTGGTCGATCGCCCTTTATTAAACTGTCATACGCAATGCCAATGTCATTAATTCTGTCAATAGTTGATGAGTAGCTCTTATATTCTGACGCAATTGGTTTCAGTTCTTCGTTCTGTTTCTTCAAAGTATCAAGATGGACGGCCACTATATCTAAGCGGGCTAATTTTGTTTCCATTCTGGATAACCAACTTAGTACTTCGTCTTTCAAGGATTCATAAGCGTTGTGTTGTTCTGCACGTAATTTCGACAATTTTGATTTTTCTTCCATAAGGTTCTCAAGATCTCGCCATTGCGTCTCCATGTTCTTTACACGATCTCTAACGTTAGCAGTGTCAGTAACATCCCTCTTATTAAGTAAATCTTTTCCAATGCCAACAACTTCCTCAAACAAAGCACGGTTATCTTCACGATTTCTGGCTATTTCTTTCATTTGCAAAGCGTATTGCTCATCGGGAAGTTTAGCTAAGTCGCGCGAATCAATAATTTCCATTATTTCGTGGTACCATTTGTCGAACTTAGCAGCTTGGTTATTAAAAGCCACTAAATCCCTGTTGACTTCTCCAAGGAAAATGCCCCTACTTTGAACGCGATCGAAAAGCTTTTCAAATCGAGTTTTAACGTCATTCAGTTTTCCTTCGATTTTCTTCGCTACGCGTGCATTACTGGTCGAAACAATTAATTCGTTAGCTGATAAATAAACGGAATCAATTGATGAAATATGTGTGTCAATATCAGACTGGAATACACGATGTTCTCTAAGTTGTTCGTCCAATCTTTCTTGAATTAAAGATGCGGGTCGTTGGATGTTTTTGAATTGGTTTTCAGCTTGATTTAGCCAATCGATGATGCCGTCAAGAGCGTCTTGAACACCTTGCGATTGAATAAGAGCAGTATCGAGCTCTTGACAACGGCTAGCAATAGCGCTGCTAAGTTGATTGTATTTGTGTTCAAGTTCTTGAACAGGAAATTCCAGGCGATTGATTTCGGACGGTGAAATTTGTCCTTCAAGAGATTTTACTAACGCAGCCGTGGCCTAGAAATAATATTTTATACAGTATAGCATTACTATCTAAAATGTCGTTTAAAAACTTACCAATTTGGCACCGTCAATTAATTTTCCATTGGTAACAAACTCGTTATTAAGAGCTTTAGCTCTTTGTAACTGGTCTTCGACAGTTTTCGGGTCTCCTCCGATAGCCTCATTAAGCAGCTTGTTAGCACGAGGTTCAGCTTCTCGAAGCCATTGCCTCGCGCGATCTACTGCGTCAGAGTATTCCCTCTGACGTCCACCTACACCAGAGAAGCGATCAGATAAATTATTAGCCCTGTTTAGCAAGTCTCTGTATTGTTGAGTAACTAGTGAAATTTCGCTACGAACTGGAGACTCCTGGGTAGATAAAGGTTCGATATGAGGAAGACGAGATGGCAATGATGTTCTAAAGTCGTTCAAAATGTTTAGATATTCCTGGAACATAAAAAATATAGTAAAATAATTTAAAAACAAAATAACTGTATTACTTTTCCTTCATCAACAAATTTCTGAGCCGACATAGTGATGAACCTAAGGTCAGCTTGATGGGCGATAACATCACTAACAAATTCTTTTGTGCTGTCAGCACTGGAGTCCAGCCTTTGTAGATCGGTCAAAGCGCGTTCTTTATCTTCAAGGATTCTTCTCGCTTTTCCAAGCCACGACGAGAAAACGTTCAGCTCTCCTTTAAGCTTGCCTAATTCATCTCTGGAAGCCAAAAGGCGTCTTAGTAATTTATCTGTCTTATCGACAGCCTTATCGTAACGGGTCTTCAAATTTCGTCCACTTTTTTCAAGAGCGGACACTTCACTTTTGGATAGAATATCTCCAGCTGTCAAAACTAACTGTTTAACTTGATCTCCACAGTGAGATACTTGGCCTGAATGTTGATCCAAATCATCTTTAATTTGCTTCATTGTATTAATTTGGTTTCTTAGTTCTTCTTCAACCTCGTGAATAACATCTTGAGAAGCAATCTTATCCTCAACTTCTCCGATCCAGTGTAAAAGTTTGGAAAGAGTTTCATCGCAAAGCTTGTACTTTTCTTCAACGGCTTGCTGTAATTGTATAATTATAATTAGTATATCTATTTGGTTTTAGTACTTATTAGCTATTTAGAAAATTAAAAAATATTAGCATAGCTAAGTATGACTGAATAGCTAACACGTGCTTATACCTATAACAATACTAAACTTATATAATAAATACAGGAATATTTAGCCTACAGCTAAACATACCCCTTAACCTATCTCATGCATTCTGAAGCAAGCACACATATATGAGATTTTAATGTTAGTTGACAAAATAAAATATATATATATATTATTTTTGTTTTACCTATAAACATGATATAAAAACCTGTAAATAAAATGTATATAAACAACTGAAATATAATCATTAAATGTCCTTCAAAAATTATCTAAAATTAAATATAAATTTGTTTAAATTAATTGTTAAAGTAAGTAGTGGAAGTGATTATATCTAACTACTTATTGTTTAAAGGTTATTTTTTGTTACATTATATCCATTACAAATTATTATTAGAGTACAAGACTTCTATTAGATATATAATTTGTTACTTACTGTTAAATAATTATTTTTTATATTACTAAATGAATAATTAGAATTTTGTAACAGTAAAAATTTACTGATTTCTCAAATAGCCATGATGATGGAACTGTCAATGCAGTGATCAGACTTTAAAATAGCTCGATAATCTTTACCAGTAATATTAAGTGCCAGTACTATTTTAAAATCTGAGACACAAATGAAGCGTGTAGACGTATTAAGCCAATCCAGGTTACATGATGTGCAAAATTGCATTGCGGCGGTCTAAATGCCTTTTCGAATGCAGAATGTTGATAACGACAGGCGGCGACGCCACGACATAAAAATGATAAACTCTCGGGAGGGCCAGAAGCTGGAAAAAATCATATTAGGTGTAAATGTGTTGAAAAGCAATATTAAATTTAGATACCGAAAAAAAGGGAGGTTAATCGTTGGAAAGGTGTGATAATGTGAAAATTAAACGTATGTTTGAAGCGATAATATTATCAATTAAACACTAGTCACATGCAAACTAGACAAATTTATAAATTGAAAACATTATACAGAACTAAAACAATATGCTGAGGCAGCCCAATAAAACAATAAAAGTTCACTTACCCGCTGTTCGGCGGCTAAAATTAAGCCCTTCTCCAGAGCTTTATTAAAGTCATATGCTTTCTTTTCAGGTACGTCGTGGAGTCTACCTGCCACACCGTCCACCACCTTCGATTCTATTCCTGATAAGAGCGACACTATTGTACCAGATTCCAAATCTTTAACCACTGTGCTACTAGGATCTATCAAATTTTCGTCAATAGCTTCAATAAGTGTAAGTTTTTTCCTATTTATTATATTCGTAGTAGTAAATGGATCCGTAAAACAACCCGTTGTAGGGTTATAAATGCCGTAAATTATCGATTCTATCAGGGTAAACCCTACATTTGGCGTAATTAGTAGACCAGTATCCAGTGCTACCGGCAAAGAATACAGTTTAGAGGTGGCGCTATCCAGCACATTGCCTTTTTCAGCGTCAATCAGACCTTTTCTGAAGCCTTCCGGCAGTTTTATCAATTTCTTTTTATTGGCATCTTTAATCAGCACACTATCAGGATCGATAAACCCAAGGGTTATTGAATCTTTGAGGGATACTTCTTCGTTTACGCTAGTCACCGAAAATTTACCCGTGTTTACGTTTAGGAAACCTGCGTCTATCGCTTGTCTAAATGTTAAAGGTTCTTTTAAATATATAATAACAGTTTGATCGTACGTAATAATAAGGGATTTAACCGCTGTAGTTTTAACATCAAAAATAATCGTTTTATTTAATTCTAACTCACCGTCTTTAATCGCGTCAGCAACGGTTTTAAACCTACCAGTTTGCAGATCTTTGGTAACCGCTATTTCGGGATTTACTAGTTCTAACCTAATAGCTTCTTCTAAGGCACATTCGCGGATTGGTTTTGGAGCAGCGGAACTGTCAGTGACGGTTTGTTGTTCAAATGTTTCTTCTAGAGGTTTATCCAGTGTCACTAAGATGCCTTTCTTTAAACCTTCATCAAAATTATAGGCTTTCTTCGATTTCGAATCCAAAACTATTCCATTTTCGACATCAATCTTTCCTTCCTGAATAGCTAAAAGCAGTGGCTTATTGGTATTATTCGTAAGGTCTTTATAAGCTGTAGTTTGCGGATCAATAAATTTGCTAATCAGTGCTTGCTTTATGTCATAAAATTCTCCATTCAAAGGATCAACAAACTTTCCGGAATCTGGTCTGTAAAGACAGTTTTGTATAGCTTCCTCTAAAGTAAGCGGAGTATGAGATGTAACTATGAAACCTTTGTTTTTCGCTTCGATAAAATCTATCGTTTTGCCATGAGGTAATATGTATACGCTTAGTTCATCATCAATTAATTTAGACTCTATTGCCGCAGTCAAGGTAACATATTTGTTTAATTTACTATTCTTTACTATAGATGTTTCAGGATTAATAAGTTCATTTTCAACAGACTCTTTCAAAGTATACCTCCGAGCACTAGTAGGATGTATAAATAGGCCGTCTTCTGGGCTGTAAAGACCCATCTCTATAGCTTCATATAGTCCAAAGTTTGCCGTTTCAATATCAACGATAAGACCCGTGTTTAATGCTTCTGATAATGTAATTGAGGTGTCACTGAATGGTTTCTTAAAAGTACCATTACGTTTATCAATAATTCCTAAACGGCATGTCTCACTAAGCGTATATAGTTTGCCTTGTTTTTTATCGAAGTAACAAGGTAGCAGAGGATTGATATTGAAATTCCGCATAGCTTCATGCAAAGTTATCTTTCTGTTCGTTATTGGATCAATGACTTTTCCAGTAGCTTCATCGTACAGACCTTGGTGTATAGCTCTTTGAAGCGATACTGCAGCTTTATTATCAACTAATAGTCCTAAATCAAAGGCTTTCTGCAACGAAACTTCATAGTTTTCACCCTTAGAGAAATCTCGTACCTTGCCAGTATTCCCGTCTACATAGTTGTTATGTATAGCGTCTATCAAGGGTATCTTACGCCAAATACCAACACGTGTATCTTTAACACTAACGGATTCTACGTCAATTAGGCTTATTTCTATAGCTTCGATCAAAGTTAGATAATGACCTGTCTGAGGGTCCAAAAACAGTTGTGTCTCTTCATCGTAAAGTCCTTTAACGATTGCTTCGCTCAGAGGAATTGGGGGTCGAATTTCTACAAACAGACCTCTTTCGAAAGCTTCATTAAAGTCAACCGGTTCGTTATAACTCATGAGAACACCTTTGTTGGTGTCAATGAGACCATCAGTTACAGCTTGATCGAATGTTACAATTTCTTCATCTATAGTTACCAGTGTACCAGAAGTGTCAACATACCCTCTATTTATAGCACTTGAAGGCTTCAGCCTTTCTTTATTTTTGGGATTAATAAATTTACCTGTGGCTGGATCATAAAATCCTTTAAATACTGCTTCGGGTAATGTTATCTGTGTATTATAAGGTACAATGATTCCGCGTTCTTGAGCTTCTACTAGATTCATTTCCGTATTAGTAACTGGATCGAATGCTATACCTTTAACTGGATCTATCAATTTCGCTTGGATAGCTTCATTTAGAGTTATTATATCTCCAGTTTGTGGATGTTTTACTGTCAAAACATTAGAGTTAACTATACCTCCATCGATAGCTTCTATAAGGCTGACAACGGAATCATTGAAAATAATTTTGCCAGAATTGACATCATAAACTTTCTGAGCCAATGTTTCTTGTAAAGACCAAGGTAAAACTGTACTAAGTATATAACCTTTCAAATAAGCTTGATCCAAAGTTAATAGTGGATTGGTTAATAATCCTCTTTCTCCGTCAATCAAATTACTTTGAACAGCTTCATGAAGCTCTATTATACGTCCACGTCTGTCGTCTTTAATTCTGGTTGTAACAGGATCGATCAATTTGCACTCAATTGCCTTAATTAAAGTAATGTCCTCTCCCGTTATTGGATTTAGTATAAGACCTGTTTCGGGACAGTAATAATTTGCCAAAAGGGCTTGTAGTAAATTGAAAACAGCAGGTTTTGTACGGATTAACTGTAGCTCAAGAGCTTTATCAAGTGGCACTAACTCGCCGGATTTAGTATTTTTAATTTTTCCAGTCGTGCCATCCACGAGATTTCTTGTTAAGGCATCCTGTAAAGTAACATAAGTATCTTCTTTAACATCTTTAATTTCACTAATTTTATCATCAATAATATGCCTTTCCACTGCTTCCTTGACTGATACTAATTGGTTAGTCAGTCGGTCTTTAATTTGGGATGACTCAGAGTCATATTGACCGTTACGAATGACAGCTTGTAATGAAATGGGTCGTGGTATTGCTAGTACAAAGCCGCTTAGAAAACCTTCTGAAAATGATATAGGTTTTTGGGTGGCAGTATTTACAATTAAACCTCTTTGTGGATCAACGATTTGCTTATCAACAGCTTCATAATATGGTACCAGCTGCATGTTTTTAGGATCTTTAATCGTGACCGATTTTGCATCCACAAGATTAGTATTTAAGGCTTTAATAAGTGAAATTGCATCTTCGCCGAGTTTCACTTCAACTTTAATAGGATCAAATTTATCAGTTTTGACGATTTCCTGCAAGGTTATGGGTTTATATTTTTCTTTAGGTTTATCATCAACGTGTATAATCCATCTTAGCTTAACTGCTTCAAAGAAAGGTACTCTTTTGCCCGTTTTTGGGTCCACCATGTATCCGGTCTGTCGATCAACTAAAGGTCTATCTAAAGCTTCGTGCAAAGTGATGTATGTAGGTGGTTTTTTAGTTAAATCTTTTACTAAAACAGTATCGGGATCAATAATTCCTAATTCGTAAATTAATTCTTCAAATGTTATATGATTACCAGTTTGAGGATCCAAAAATAATCTTCGTTTTTTATCATAATACCCAAGTTCGGATAACTTATCTGCCGTCATTTGTTTAGAAATGGTCAATATGGCAGATTTGTGAACTTCTACTAGAATAACTCTATGATTTGTTATAACTTGAATTACATCAAGAGGGCTAACTTTAGTTTGATCTAATCCATCTTGTACTGTATAGGGTAGTTCCTTTTTCTGATAAATAATGCGGCATATTTTTGGTTCTATTAATTTTTGTGCAATAGCATCACCGATTGGTAGTATTTGAACAATATCAGCGCTCGATACAGATTGCTCATTTTTCAAAATATGCACTGTGGATGTTTTCTGTTGACTTGCGGTGGTAACATTCGAAACATGTACTTTATCTTGTTGAACTTGCTTTCTTTTACCGGCATAGTCTTTCACAGCCTGAACAGCGGCAACACCAGCTGCTACCGGAGCTACCACAGGCAAAGCTAATCCTCCTAAGACAGCTATGAGTCCCTTTTTTGTAGCTTCTTTAAAATTAATACTTTTTCCTGTCTTATCATCCTTAATTTTACCAGTTTGACTATCAATTAATCCCTTTTCAACTGCTTGCTCTACTGTAATGGGTCTTTGAGCTGTTACATCATATATAATAGAATTTGGATCTATAATTTCTTTTTCTAAAGCCTGCTTAAATGTAATTTCTTTATTATTATCTTTAAGATCAACAAATTTTTCAGTCTTCTCATCATAAATGGTTTCAAAAGCTTCGTGAATATTAAGTTCACTAGTTTTATGTGTAGATACTGTAGCAGAAGTTTCAGTTATATCGTGCGATATTTCTGGAGTACTTAATATTTTACCCTCTTGTAGAGCTTGTTGAATAGTAACTTTTTCGCCAGAAGTAGGATCTGTAAAAACTCCAGCATTCATATCGACAAGGCCTCTTTGAAGGGCATCAGAAAATGATAAATGGTTACCTTTAATAACGGTTTTGTTTTTCGTTTGGCTAATATCTTTAATTATACCTCTCTTTCTAGCTTCCTGGATAGAAATTATTTGTCCAGTTTCAATATTTTGTACTTCATGATTGTTTAGTAGTGCATAACCTGATAAAATCTCAATTGTAAGTGTTGTTACAGTATGAATAGTATCGGCAACTGCACTTACGGTGGTAACAGGACTTGAAATTACAAAGGAAGCAGTGTCGGTTTGATCTTTAACAACTAGCAACCCCTTTTCGACAGCCTCAGAAACGGGATATACCTCTCCAGTTTGAGGATTTCTAAACGTTGCACTATCGGTATCTATAAGATCGGATTCTAATGCGTCTTCTATTTTAACAGCATGTGGAGCGGCAGGAATTGGTAGTGACATTATAAAGTTGTCATTAATAGCTTCCGTAATGGGTATAGCATCCTTTGTGATGGGATGTACAATTTCTTTTTTATCTGGATTGACCAGACCTCTTCGAATAGCTACATCTAATGTCATTCCAGCCGGTGGTAGATTTAACGGACCTGACTGTGATGATTCGTCAAATATGTTTTCTGTAACTGCTTCTTCTAATTTTTTAACACCGCTACTTGTATCAATCAGCGACTCTTCATCATCAACAACTCCTTTTTCTAAGGCTTGGCTTAAGGTTACTTTATCACCAGTTTTTTCCACTAAAGTGCTTAATGGATCAATGATATCACAGATAATTGCTTCGCTAATACTTAAATGGGCACCAGTTTCTGGATGGACGACTTTACGACTTTCGGGATCGATCAGACCCTGTTTAACTAATTCGGGTACAGTTAAACTACGGTTCAAAGGCACTAGTACTTGATTGGTTCCGTCCGGATCTAAGATTCCCCTCTCAAGAGCTTCGGTGATGTTAAGTTTGTGTCCTCTCTGAGGATCTATTATAGTTCCTTGCGTACCGTCAACTTTATTTGTTTCAATAGCTTCCTGCAATGTTAAAGGCTCCCCTGAATCGTTCACAAAATTTTCACGATTATCTAAAATAGAAGCGGTCTCTGAATCTAGAAGACCTGTCTGTACAGCGTCTTTAGATTTCAGTACTCTCTTTCTGAGTTTATGCAGTACTGTTCTCTTAGCCTCACGGTCGGGGCTGAGTGATTGTGCTCTTCCAATTTTAACTCTGTATGTTGGTTCAATTGTAATTCTCGCACGAGTTTTTTCAGCTTCAGATGGACCATATTCATCATCTAAACTAAGAGTATCTGTTGTCAATGTTTTAGTTATTGTCGGTTGCTTTGTGACTTCTTTAATATCTATTAAGTTCTGATGCTTAGTTATATTAGAGTCAGATATATCCATAACCGAGACAGGAGATTCCTTTTCAAATTCTTTCAGCTGCTCATTTGTAAGAAGTCCACGCTCTAATGCTGCCTGCGGAGTATATATTTCGCCAGTGTTAGAATCAGTAATACTGAGAGTTACAGCTCCGTGATCTTCATTCTTCAGTTTTAGTTCTTCTAACTGTTGACTAGTAATTATTCCTTTAGCCAGAGCTTCCTCTGGAGTATACGTCTGATTAGTTTTAATATCAGCTATCTTTAGAGCAGCAGTATTTTTATATTTATCTTCTAAATCTTTTAATTGCTGTTCTGTAATAAGTCCAATTTTTAGTGCTTCTTCAGGAGTATAGGTTTGACCTGATTGAGGATCAGTGATTTTTAATGTAGTAATGGTAAGAGTAGATTGAGTATTTTTGTCTTCTAATTCTTTTAACTGCTCGCTAGTAATTAAACCTTGATCTAGCGCTTCTTGAGGAGTATATGTTTGGCCAGTTTTAGGATCTGTAATCTTTAAAGTTGTCGTAGAAGTAAATGTTGTTGTAGTTTTCAGTTTATGAGTTGTTCCTGACGTATCTACATTGTCCAGATCAGCCTTCATCTTCTCATAAGTTGCTAAATCTATCAAACCTTCTTTTAGAGCAACTTCACCTGAAACTTGTTCACCAGTTTTGGGATTCACAACATAAAATGTTCTAATTGTTTTCATAATTGTTTGGACGGCAGCCACTGGAGCACCAACTACAGTAAGAATACCATATTTAGCTGCCTCTTTTAACGGTATTTTTTGGCCTGTTTTATCGATGTAATTTCCTTTTACTGGATCAATAATATTTCTTCTAATAGCTTCTTTTATTTCCAAAGGTTTACCGCTGAACGGATCTGTTACCTTTACGGTATTGGCCGGAATTTTATTGTCTAAAACAGCGGTTATTAATTCAACCTTTTCACTTTTTTCAGGATAAATAACCGAGATTGTTGTTGGGTCAAAAACTGCATCATGTTGTATTTGCACTGGCTGAACAACTGCACCTTCAGACATTTTCACTTCCGTATAGACAGGTGGATATTCATCGAGCACTGACGAAACTTCAACTTTAGCTGGCTTACCTTCTGTTTTGGTGATTTGAAGAAGTCTTTGATTAATTTGATCAGTTTGAATTACTTCTTCAAGCAAAATATAACCGCGCTTAATAGCTTCTTGAACAGTGAGAGTTTCGTTATCAATTTTGTAATGCCCCGTACTATCCAGAATTTTTTTCTCGATAGCCTTCGCTATAATAAGACGGCGTTTGGTTATAGGGTCAATAACTGTAGCGGAATTCTGGTTAATTAGCTTTAAGCTGATACACTCCTCAAAGCTCGCTAATCGGTCTGTTCCAGGAATAATAAACAGACCTGTTACGGGATCAAATAATTTTTGGTTAATAGCATCGTTTAAAGTCCATCCCTCGCTAGGCAATTCATATACTTGTTTTTCCGATGATTTCTTTTCACTGACTAAAAATTCACTAGTAGAGCTTCTGCTATCTGATACAATTCCCTCTGTTATAATCGGAGATTCTTTCTTGCTGGTTATAGTTATAATTGTCGAATGGGAGCCTTTAGGGGTAATAACTTTTTCAGAATTTTCAACGTCTGGTGCCAATTTTCCTTCACTAATAGCTTGAACTATAGGAATTATTTCGTTTGTCTTCGGATCCGTAAATGTTTGTTGTTCGTTGCTTATTAACCCAAGTCGTAGAGCCTCAGTATAAGTGATAACTTCTTGTGTAATGTCCTTACTTGTTACCGTAGCATACCTTTGAACCAAAGTTCGGGTAATTTTCGTGGATACATGTAAATTTAGTAAGCTGTTTAGAGTAGCCGCTCCTTCTGGAGTAATTAAATGTTGAGCAATAGCTTCGTTGAGATATATCACTTTATTCGTCTTTATATCGATTAAATTGCCGCTTCTCGTATCGACGTATCCCTTGAAAACGGCTTCCAGCACATTCAGTTCTTGCTGATTTTCAAAAATACCGATTTTTCGAGTTAACATTTCGTAAATTTCGGGTTTCACTTCGCCAGAATGAACACCGTCGCTAAAAGGTACTAACTTACCGCTCTTTGTATTAACTAGCAAACTACCGTCGTACTTATTACTAATAAAGCCCTTAGCCGAGGCCGCGTTAAAACTAATATAGTCGGATTTGTCGGGAGGTTGGAACCCATCTACGTCGAATATCGATTTTTTTACGACCGAAATAATATAACCCCTGTTCACAGCTTCGACAATAGTTAAAATCTCTCCCGTAACAGAGTTTTTAAACGTGCTATCAGGTAATATAACGCCCCTTTGGAGTGCTTCAGATAAAGTCACTAATTCGTTAGAACGATGATCTAAAATAGATTTAATTTGGTCTACATCGATTACGCCGCGTTCTGCTGCTTCGAGAAGGGTAAGTTTGGTTTGGTGAAGAGGCGAAAGGATCTTTCCATTTTCGTCTATAAGATTATCATCAACTAGTTCTTTTAACGTTTTGGGTTTTACAATTAGCTGTCTGCGCTTAGCTTCCAGGAGTGATAATTTTTCGTGGCCTAACACGTACTTACCTAGTTTGGGGTTTAGAATTCCTTTTTCTAGCGCTTGTACTACCGTTACTTTCGAGTCTGTCTTAGAGTTGACTATTTCCCTTAAATCCCCCTCAACGACGTTACATTTAACCGCCGCGTCTATTTGATACTTATTTCCGGAATTTCTGTCGACGATCCAACCGGTCACGTCATCAATAAGCCCTTGGGTTATCACGTCCGCAAGTGCCAAAGCTCCCGTTTGGAGTTTAACTTCGGTGTGCTGTAGCAAATAACCTCTTTTATACGCTTCCTTGATATCGATAATTTCTCCGCTGTCTAATTTGTACGTTCCTGAAGTTACGTCTACCTTTCCATCATCAATGGCTTGATTGATTGTCATGGAGTGTGTTACCTTTAAACGTTTTTCAGAAGAATCAACAAAAGTGGTTTCTGCATCTAAAAGTCTTCGTTGGATGGCTTCCAGAAGGGTTAATTCTCGACCGTCTTCTTTAACGCCGCAAGGGCTTTGAAGTTTATCTGCTAGTTTCGGGTCGATAAGACCTTTTCTTTTTGCTTCTTCGATGGTGATTTGAGTGCCGTCGGGTGAGGCGATAATTTTTTCAGTTCTCACGTCCAAAATTCGTTCGGATATGGCGTCCCTAACGGTCATTTGTTCACCGGTGAACGGATTGATGATTCCAGCTACGTCTACTATATTTTCGGTGCTGATGCTTTCGTGCACCTTGTGGACGCGTTTTAAAGACTTGATTTCTGAGAACTGCATGGAGGTACCGTAAGTTTGAGGTACCTCCTGAATTATTTGCGTTAAGGTGGTGTGTTTATCGGGTGGACGACCATTTGTGATTTTGTCAGTTTCGTCGGTGTAATGTCTTTGCTGGTCATCAGATATTTTAATCGTAGTTCCATTTTCTGTTTTCGTAGATTTAACGTACCTAAATAAAACATTTTAATAGGTTTATTATAGACATTTTAAGAAACATATTTAAATATCAATTTAAGAATTTCCATGAAGTAGAATTTTGATGAATCAGTTAATAGTGTCATGTAAAAACTTACTGTTTGCTATAATGAGTCGTAGTAGTGTATGTAGATGTGTGTTCACTAGCGCTACTCATGTGAAATTCAGTCCTGAACGTTTTAAAAGGCTGAGGCTGCATTTGCTCGACCAATCGCTGAAAAAATAAAATAAAAACATTATTTAATTTATTTTAATCCTTCAAACTTAATAATTTTATTTTTGTCAATAATGACATTTATTGACTATTTCCATTCTAAATATCTTGAGAACGGTTGCTCAGAGCGATTTCTACCAAGAGACATTTTTTACGTAAAAAATGACGGAAATGTATATTTTTCACTCAGTAGTTTTACACAGGTACGGACGAAAAAGTATTCTTAAAAACAGTTAAATCACATGTAGGTGGCGACCCCACGAGTAAGAGTCATATTGACACACATCGAAATCCAAATTTCTTATGTCAAAAAACACCCAGTTATCCAAATATCGACTGTAGTTCAGAAATTATTTGGAAACAACCTGAATAAAAATAAAACTTCTCCAAAACGAAGCATTTAAAAAAACATACATTTATACGAACTTTTTTGCTTATTTTTATCTGTAGAATATGCTGCCTAAGTTTCCCGAATACAATTCTGAACCACCTTATATATCAAACCACCCTGTATATCAAAATAAAAATGTAAATATATAAAAATAATATAAAGGTAAACAAAGTTTTCTTGCAGCTTTTAGTATAAATTACTATTTATTTAGTAATGTATAAAAATAATATGGGGTCATTACAAATTTATAAATATTATCAGCCTCAAGTATTCGTGCACTAGAAATTACGTGGGAATAAAAAAGATTAAATGTTATGCTTATTACGTATCCAAGATAATAAATAAATTCCAAATATTAATAAGTTAAGTTATTATTGGTTTTGCGAGACAAGTCTCTAATATTGTCTAAATAATACTTCATCAATAAAATACTAATAAAAAATGGGATAATGTCATATAACGCGTAGGCTTCGATATTCTGAAGAAAAAAACAATACGTGGGGGTACCACTATTGCTATAACCTTCATTCTTACCCATCGAGTTTTGTCACCTTGGCGGCCACTTTGAAATAATTAAAAATATTTTTCCATATAAATAAACCCGAACAAACTTGAACTGAGAGAGCTAGATTTTTTATTTATTTACAAAGAGGTTGCGGTCATTGAATAAATATAGAAATTCGAATAGCAGTGGCTGGGAAACTTAAATTGTTTAAGTGGTATATGCTAATTTTACATGTAGTCTACTTGTGTGTAGATATTTATTCTTAAGAGAAAATTGGCATCTAAGCTGCTGCGTCTGGCTAATGTAATCTGTTAATTCTAACATTGTCAATAATTATTAATGAAATTAATCATCTTAGAGGGCAACGAACCAAATACGCAAATACACAGGTTCCCGATTGACCACCAAAGTGAAGCGACGTTAGATGCTGTAAGTATATGAACGGGTAAACGATTGGAAAACTGCTGTTGTTCCAAGGCGGGATGGATCAGCTATCTCGTGAGTGGAGTTGATTTAGACACTCGATAAGTCGGTAGACCATTTTATAGATGAGGACCGCGGTTCGGAATCCCCGTCAACAAAGCTTAATTTTTCAACAATAGCTTATATTTTTCAACACACATTTTCCTACAAACGTAAAAAACCGGCAACACTGTATGCTGCTTTTAGATTTTGTCTCTCTGTCTGTCAACCGGTCATTTATATTATTCTCTGTCACATCTCATTAAAATCTACACCACATAAATTGGATTACCAACAGGGTATATTGTATATTATATTACATACTATTATTTGAACTTTCTTGGCCTAAAAAATAAATAAGTATGAAAGTTTTTTATGCAATATGAATAATCTATGAAAAACATATTACAAACTTGATCGATATCATATGAAAGTATATATTCTGATCTAAAAAATCAGATTTATTTAGATAATTTATTTTAGTAGCATTGTAATTGAAGGGTTTAGGGGAAAACCATGATAAGGGCCATTTTACTAATTTTACAGGAGAGTCCTGGACGGCTGGTAGTTGGTGGTAGGTCCCACTTAAAAACGAAAATAAATACTTAAAAATTAATATAAACATAAAAGTACTCCGTAAAAATTATTTACTATTACACGTATGTATATACGAGTTTAGTAATTAAAAGATTACGTTATAGGTATCAATTGTTTTGTTATCTCTGATAAAAGATATTAAAATACACACAAAAAAATAATACTTTGACAACATAAATTATGCACAATTACCGACATTTTAAATACATATACAGGGCGAGTCTTAAATAAGTACAAATATTTTTAGGTGTAGTATATTTCGACCCCAGAAACACGGTGAAGTTTTTTCGGGAAAAACATTTTTTGAAAATTTGGAATTTTTTGAAAGTTTTGGATTTTTTTTAGTTTTTAGTTAAAAAACATAATTTGTTGATAATATGGCAACATAGCCAGTAGATTAAATTTACAAGAGAGAAAATCCAGAAAAGATCCAGTTGTTCTCAAAATTTTAGCAAATCTTTTTTTTTTAATTTTCAAAGTAAAATAACTCGGTTATTTTGGATTTATTTGAAAAACGGTAAAAAGAAAATATGTTTCTTTTATCGAGATCTACCGGCCTTCAAAATATTTGATTTATTTAAGACTCACCCTGTTATAAGCAAATACAAAATAAACTTTTAGTTACGTCATCGAGGGCGCGATTATTAAATTCATTGTTGCCAACCATGGATATATTTGGCGCCGGGCTGACTAACTGGAATTTAAATTTCCCGCTGGCGATTTAGGTGGTAGTTCTGCTGTAAAAAATGTCAAGTTGCCACTTTCATTTATCTATTTCCTGACATTCTGATTTGTTTTGACACTTTAGTTTTGTATCATGAGTTTTTGTTTAAGTGAAATGTTGTGATTCTTTAAGTTTATTTTTTTTACTAGCAGACCTTGCAGTCGAAAAGTGTTCTTTTTAGAACCGCTTATAGTGCGAAGTCAAAGTTTGGCGAAGTGCACAAGACGCCGAAGCAGTTTAACAATCGTTGCAAAAAACTCATCGCAACCTTATTAGAATATTTTGAACAGAAAAGCGGTAGTAATAGCCCTTTATCTCCCTTAAGTGATGTTAGGGAGGTCAGTTTTTTTATGTAAATCATAACTGTTTATATATTTATTGTTAATTCATTTTTGTTTCCTAAAATATTTTGATTAAAAGAAAATATGTAAAAGTGAGCAACGCTGTGCCGATCAAGCTTAATCACGTGACTAAAAGTTTATACCTATATAATAAGTGATTTCCGAGGTGATTTCATAACTAAAAATATTACCTTCCTGATCTTTCAACAATATCGTTAATTAAGGTTAGATAAAATTTGCTGTAAAGTCTTTAATTGCTAAATATAATTAAAGAAAAATAACACTGTCGATTGCCAGGTGTATGTGTTAAAATTGGCAGAGCATAAACCGTACCGCATGGTATAAAGGAACTCAAGGAAAATTTTAGGTATATTTTTTTACAAAAATAATATTATACAAAAATAATACATGTTTATACAGCATGAGACTTAATAAGTGCAAATTCATTTAGGGTAGTATATTTCGCCCACGAACAAGTTAGTCTATGAAGAACAATTATTAGTCTATGAAGTTTTTTTCGCGTATAAGATCGTGCAGTTTTTTATTTTCCTATATATTTTAGAAACCGTTTGTTCACAGGAAATTTTCCCACAATATAATTTATTAATCTCTGATATTATCATAGCTACGGGGATGCAAATACAGAAAGAATCCGGTGGCTCTAAATTTTTTTAAAAAATAAATCATTTTTTAAAATTTTCAAATTTGAATAACGCGGTTGTTTTGGACTTATTTGAAAAACGATAAAGAGAAAATATATTTCTTTTATCGAGATCTACCAGCCCTGAAAATATTTGCACTTATTTAAGACTCACCCTGTATATTCATACTAAAAAATTATTTCTGTAATTAAATCAAGTAAATAAAAGAAGTCATAATAAAATGTGGCCAAAATATTCTTATTTCACAAAATACCCGTAATTACTACATTCTCCTGTTTTTTTTTCATCATATTCATTATAAATAATTTGCTTTGACTTTATATTATACATTTTAAAATCCCTCATGCCCTTTGTCATTGATATTTCTAAATTTCTGCTAAAAAAATAAAAACGATATTTTCTTCATTTTTGGCGGATTGCCAAAAAGTTAAAATAAAAAAGCGATATTGCGAGACTCGGGTGACTTGCGACTTGTACCGCACATGAATAGTCAATGACCAGACAAAATCAAAATATTACAACAGTATCGTTACAAATTATCATCCAAAAAACTTATATCCTTGGAAAGTATGTCTAAACTCAAAGGAAATTAAAGAATTTAATATTTTACAAAATATTCTATTTATAATACTGATGATAGTTTCACATCATCACTTGTAATGTTTGTGATGTATGAGATAAAAATACTATCAATGATCTAATTGTATACAGCTGAATTTAGTGTATTTACAAGGTTTATTAAAGCAAAACCTAAAGTAATTGTAAATATTTAAAGATAAGATGCACGCTTATTATTTATGCACAAATAAAATTACATGCGCTTTAACACACTTTAGTAGGAATAATAAATTTCTATTCTATAGTCTTTTTTACGTATAAGTGATACCAATTAAACTTTTAGTTACGTAATCGAGTGCGCGATTTTTAAATTCATTGTTAGCAACGATGGACATATTATAATTATAACTCCATATTATAACTAACTGGAATTTAAATTTCCCGCTGGGGATTCAGGTGGTAGCTCTGCTGTAAAAAAATGTCAAGTTGCCACATTTATTTATTTATTTCTTGACATTGTCATTCGTTTTGACACTTTAGTTTTGTATTACGAGTTTTTGGGTTAAATGAATTGTGTTGGGATACTTTAAGCTTAAAAATGTTTACTAGCAGACTTTGCAGTCGAACATTGTTCTTTTTAGAACCTCTTTTAGTGCGAAGTCTACAAGATAGCTTAATAGCCGTTCAGAAAACTTATCGCAACCTTATTAGAATATTTTCAACGGGAAAGGGGTAGTAATATCCCTTTATATCCCTTAAG